GATGACCTGAGTTTGATCCCTGGAACCCACATGGTGGAAAGAAAACCAACTCTTACAAGTTATCTTCTGGCCTAAGTGCACCCTGCCCCCCATACACACACATAATAAATGTAATAATATTTTTTTCAATGTACATGTCATGGTTGACTTCAGTTGTCAACTTGGAACCTAGGGAAAGGGGAACCTCACGTGAAGAATTATCTCCATCAGATTGGCCTGTGGGCATGTCTGTGGGGCATTTTCTTGATTACTAATTGATGTAGGAGAACCCAGCCCACTGTGGGCACAACCATTCCCTAGGCAGGTGGGCCTGGGCTGTATAAGAAAGGTAGCTGAGCACAAGCCTGGGAGCAACCAGTAAGTCAGTGAGCATTCCTTCATGGTCTCTGCTTCACGCTCCTGCCTTGAGCTCCTGCCCCGGCTTCTCTCAATGATGGACTGTAAGATGAAATAAACCCTTTCCTCCCCACATTGCTTTTGGTCATGGTGTTTATCCCAGCAATACAGATGTAAACTAGGACAGTATATTTTGTCATGATTGCTGTTTATCAGAGCAATGGTTACTTGTGGGTTTGGTGGTTTATTCTCTGTGCTTTTCAGCAGGCTAAAAATTTTACAGAAAGATTCCCAGGCCCTAGCACAAACCTAGAGCAGCAATTTTTGGGGACATAGTCTAGAAGTTTTTTGGCATACAAAGCTCCCAGGAGCCTTTAAAGAACAATTAATTCTGTGACTTTTTAGAATGTTACAGACAGGAAACAAGCATTGCATATTAAAGCTGATTTTTCTGTTTATATCTTGTATCTCATACAGGTCTATAAAAATGATTTGAAAGGGGCTTCATAAACTATGTATCATAAGGTATCCTCATTATCATCCCTCCTTTTATTGGAGTTATTACATCTTTGCTAACAATTCTTTACAATTCTTTGCTGTTGACTTAGGAAATCAGCTATTGATCCATCTTTATACATTAGCTAGTGTTTAAAGGAATAGCTAAATTGTATCAGATGAACCCACAATAATTCAAATTTCTTTCTTTTCTTTCTTTCTTCTTTCTTTCTCTCCTTTCTTTCTTTCTTTCTTTCTTTCTTTCTTTCTTTCTTTCTTTCTTTCTTTCTTCTTTCTTTCTTTCTTTCCTCTTTTTTAAATTTTCAGATATGGTCTAATTATGTAGTCCTGGCTGACCTGGAACTCACAGAGATCTGCCTGCCCCCAAGTAATGGGACTAAAGGTATGCACCAAGCATTCAAGGTTCTAAAGAGATATACTATTCTGTATGGGGGCTGGAGAGATGGCTCAGCAGTTAAGAGCTCTTGCAGAGGACCTGGGTTCAATTTCCAGGACCCACACGGTGGCTACAAACTGTCCTTAACTCCAGTTCCAGGGGAATCCAAAACCCTCTTCTGACCTCCATGCATTGCATGACACGAGTGTACTCACATACATGCAGGCAATACACTCATACACAAAACAAAAATAAAATATTTTAAAAAGAGATATACTGTTCTGTAATTATCAAACTTCTTTCAGTACTAGGGACATAGTACAGTTGATAAAGTGCTTTCCTAGCATGCAGGAAGTCCTGGGTTCAATCCCAACCACCTTTTATTAAGTGAGCACTTGGAACTAGATCCAAGAGGCCAGCTTGGTCTACATAACAGTTCCAGGCCAGCCAGGGTTACATAGTGAGACCTTACCTCAAAAAACAAGCAGAAAGCTGGAGAGAAGGCTCAGAAGTTAAGAGCACTGGTTGCTCTTGCAGGGGACCTGTGTTCGATTCCCAGCACCCATATGGTGGCTAACAACTGTCCGTAACTCCAGTTCCAGGGGATCAGACACCCTCTTCTGACCTCCATGCACTTTACAAGATAGGGGTGTGTCTTAGTTTGTTCTTCATTGCTGTGATGAAACACTCTGACCAGTACCAACTTGGGGAGGAAAGGGTTTATTTGTCTTACATCTCCCAGGTCGCACGCAGTTCATCAGGGAGCCCAAGGTAGGAACTCAGGGCAGGAACCTGGAAGCAGGAGCTGGAGCACAGGCCATGGAGGAACGCTGCTTACAGGCTTGCTCCCTTGGCCCCTGCTCAGCCTGCTTTCTTACGCAACACAGGCCCACCTGCCCAGGGGTGGCACCACCCACAGTGGGCTGGGCCCTCCCACATCACTCATCAAGAAGATGCCCTTCAGACATGGCCACAGGCCAGTTCAATAGAGGCAATTCCCCAATTGAGGCTCCCTCAACCCAGGTGTGTCAAGTTGACACTAAAGCTATCCAGCACAGGGTGCATTTACATACATGCAGGCAAGTCACTCATATACATAAAAACAAACAGAAACAAAGTATGCACTTGGGAGGTAGACCAAATTTCAAGGTTCAGGCTGGAGAGATGGCTCAGCAGGTAAGAGTATTGGCTGATCTTCCAGAGGACCTGGGTTTGGTTCCCAACACCCATGTGGCAGTTAACAACTGTCTATAACTCCCAACACCCTCTTCTGACCTCCTCAGGCATTGCACACACATAGTGCACACACATAGTACATACATGCATAGTACATAAGATTAAAAATTTTTTAATTCAAGATCATTCTCAACTATATAGCCAGTTAAGAGACTAGCTTGGGCTACATGTGACCCTATCTCAAAAAACAACAACAACCAAACAACAACAGAGGACTGGAGAGATGGCTCAGTGGTTAAGGGTACTGTTTGTTTTTGCAGAGGACTCAGGTTGGGTTCCCAGCACCCACATGGTGGCTGACAACTATCCATAGCTCCAGTGCCAGGGAATCTGATGCTCTTTTTGGCCTCCAGATACATAGCATGCATGTGGTGCACTTATGTGTAACAAAATACTCATATACATAAACAACAAAAACTATTTTTTGATTGTGGTGGAGACTGAATGTAGAAACTCATGTGTGGTAGACAAATTTTCTTCCATTAAGCTATAGCTCCAGACCCTCTTTTTGCTGTTGAGACAGAGTCTTACTTTTGTAGTTCAGGTTGTCATTTAATACTTGTCCTTCCTGCCTCCACTTCCTGAATGCTGGGATTACATGTATGTACTACCATGTTTGCTTGCTTTATCGTTCCCCTCCCTCCTTCCCTCCCTCCCTTCCTCCTTCCCTCTCTTCCTTCCTAGTTGTTTTGAGACAGAGTCTAATGTAGCCAAAGCTGAACTAAAATTTACTATGTTGTTGAGGCTGATCCTGAACTTCTAACCCTCCTAGCTCCATCTCTTGAGTTCTGGGATTGTGTGTACCACCATGCCCAGTTTATCTGGGATTGGGGCTTGAGTCTAGAGCTTTGTAAATGCAAGGGAAGACAGTCTGTTTCCTTAACTCTTACCTCTGCAAATGGTCTATCACTGAGCTAAATCTTCAATCTGTTTTTTTTTTCTTGAGACAGAGTCTCCCTGTAGGCCCAGGCTGGCCTAGAACTCACTGTTGTATCACTGAAGAGTTGGCTCCGTGGTTAAGAGCACTGGCTGCTCTTGCAGAGGACCCAGGTTAGATTTCCAGCACCCACATGGTAGCTAACAACTGTCCTAACTCCAGTTCCAGGGGATCCAATGGCCTCTTCTGACCTCTGAGGGCATGCAAGACATGGGTGCACTTACACACATGTAGGCAACATAGAACAAAAAAGTAAAACAAGAGAAATATCACCTTACTGATGTTGAGTAGCTTCTTTGCTGTGCCAGATCCATTCTATTTTACAAATGTAAACATGTCTAATTATGAGGGCTATCTTACAGGGGGTTACCAACTGAGAGTACAGGCTAGTCTGAGTCCAAACTCTTTAGGACCTCCACAGAGGGCACACCCAGAGAGGTTACTGTATCAGTCCACGGTCTCAGGAGTAAGGGCAGCCAGAAAATTGTCACTTATCAGAAGAGGGCATTGGATTCCCCTGGACTTGGAGTTACTGCCTTGTGAGTGCTAGGAACTGAACCCGGGTTCTCTGCAAGAGTAGCCACTAGCTCTTAATCTCCGAGCCATCTCTCCAGCCTCTCCTGTCTTTTTGAGACAGGCTCTCATGTAGTCCAGGCTGGCCTGGTCTCGAACTCCCTACATGACCAAAGATGAACATCTGACTCTTCCCGCTTCTACCCCTTGAATCCTGGGCTTACAGGCCTGACAGACCAGACTCAGTTTATGCGATGCGGGAGATGGAACACAGGGCTTTCTGCTTCGAAAACAAGCACTCTACCCATTGAGCTATAACCCCAGCACCCCATCTGTACAAAACTTTTCTACTCTTCTGAGTTTTCTCCAGCGCGTGAACCTCACTTAACAGCCCATAGAGTTTGAGGCGCCCCGCCAGGGTATTTATTGATATACAGACGAAGGTTGGATTGGGCAGACTGGTTCCGTCTCTGCACCCAGACCTTTTACTGAACGCTAGGGGCAATGACCGAACTCTCAAGATGGGCATGGGTGTCGGACAGCGAAGGTCTGGAAAGCCCAGCCCTGCATTTTCCACGGGACGACTGTGGCGCATGCACCGCCGCGGAGAAGCCTCCACAGGGAGAGTCTGGACAATGATCGGACTTAATTGTAAATCTTAACATTTACTTCAGCCCCCAGCTCATCTGAAAAATTAATAAGTGCCGGGCGTGGTGGCGCACGACTTTAGTCCCAGCACTTGGGAGGCAGAGGCAGGCGGATCTCTGTGAGTTGGGGGGCAGCCTGGTCTACATAGTGAGTTCCAGGCCAGCTGGGGTACAGGGAGACCGTGTCTCAAAAAAAAAAAAAAAAAAAATTAACAAACAAAAAGCCCTAAAGACACTTCTCGCTCTTCCGGCTAAGATCAAGGGTCAAAAAAAAAAAAAACACAAAAAACAAAAACAACCTTGTAAACTACTGTTGCCCGAAGCCACAGAGCTCAGCGGCGCGGTTCTTCCACCCAGCTGTGGAGGAAGCGAAGGCCACCGCAGCACTTCCGGCCGCACGCTCGGCCCCACCGCAGCCCGGCCCCACGGTGCAGCCCGGGGAGCTCGTCCAACAGGCTAAGGGCTACGCAGAGGCCACAAGGCTTTAGGGTCTGGGTGGGGACGGCTCACTCCCTTTCTGTTCCGGGACAGGTGCACAGCGCAGAGCTGTCACTGTCACTGCGGGCCGGAAGCCCCGCCACCGCTCACCTCTGGAGAAAGGTTTATTGTGAGCCAGCGTGAACGCAGGGACTACGACTCCCGGCATCCTCCGCGGCTTCCACTGTTAACCCTTCAGGGCCTGGAGCTGCCCGGTGTCCCGCCCCCGCCCCTTCCTCGGACTGGCAGGGTGAGTTTTGGGGGCTGGGGAGGGCCTTTTTCCTTTAAGGCTTAAGGGTGCATATAAGAGAAAAGGATGTATTGTCTGTGGAAGAAATGATTCCTTATTTTCCAAAAATGGGACAATCTGCAATAGTAAGATTCTGACGCTTTCTTCTTTTACAAATGGGAGACACAGCATCACTCCCTGAATCCCAGGGCCTAAATTCATCATTACAGTGTTTCTCAGAATGCTTCTAGTCTTCTCCGTTCCTCCAAGAACAAAGTAGCCAGCACTTTCTCCTAGCTCCCAAGCATTCTTCCCCCAACCCATCCCTTCTCCAGGACTCCCAGCAACGTTTGTGATTAGAGTTGAGGTTTTTATTGTGCCTGACTTGGGGGCAGAGATGATGGTGATGGTAGGGCGGTGAGTACACACGGAACCCACAGGAAATTCTGTATCCTTCTGGATTAGAGAATCCTGGCCTTTTGTCTAGCAGAGTCCTCCCTTCACCAGATGCCAACCAGGGGGTCCCCTGCAGGCTCAGCAGGCATCCTGTCTTTCGTCTGATTTGACAGTAGCTTGTGGAAAAGGAAAAAGTATGGGTGAAAGGTGTTAAACCAGAACCTTGTCCACACATGCACCCCCGAATCAGTACTAGGCACAGGAGACAGTAGATAATGTTATGGTCCCCTTACTGTGCACAGTTCCAGTTCTCATCTGGGTGGGGGCCCAAGGACTGAAAGTTTTAAGGATCATTAGACTATGCGGATGGGCAGGAGGGAGTAGAAAGGTTGCTTTCCCCCTTCACCTTTCTCTAGTTCCAGATCCTACTTTAAATTTTCCACCTCACACTAGGCTCCTATAACACCCCCAACACACACACACACACACACACACACACACACACACACACACGCCCCTTTGCCTGGGTCTTCTAGTCTAAAGCTAATGTGTGTTTTGTGTGTGTGTGTGTGTGTGTGTGTGTGTGTGTGTGTGCGTGCATGTTTTCTCTTCACTGCTATCTTGGTGTCAGTGTCATTGGCAAGTATCCCATCCTCACCCTGGACATTAACGCCCCTGTTGTGGGCAGTCTCTTGTTTCCTCCCCCTATTCCTAAAGAGAACATTGTTCTAGTCAGCTTTTGGGGAGGGAAGAAAACCTTGGGGCAGGAGTCCTGAACCACAGGAGGCCAGGGAGTGAGGTACACAGGCATATCTCTCCTCTCCCTCACGCTTGCACCCGCCAACTGGCTCCCTACCCCTGCCCCCGCCCCTTGACATCCCAGACTCTCTGCCTATTTAAACAGAGATGGGTGCCCCCATCGGCACACTGTCCTTTGGCCACTCAACATCATGCCTCCCAAGAAAGATGTTCCTGTGAAGAAACCAGCTGGGCCCACCATCTCTAAGCCTGCTGCTAAGCCTGCAGTAGGGGCCCCTCCAGCCAAGGCCAAGGCCGAGCCAGCTGTCCCCCAGACCCCTGCAAAAACCCAGGAGCCCCCTGTTGATCTCTCCAAAGTTGTGGTGAGTCCTGGGAAAGTGAAAATTTGGGACGGGTGGTTCGATGATAATATACAGCCTAGGGATTAGGGAATATGTAGATGGTGGGGAGTGAATGGCACTGAATGAGACTGGGGGTTCCCTGTGGTTTCTTACTGGGAAGCATCCAGGCTTATGACTGCTGTCTTTGCTCTTCTCTCCCTCTAACCTGTAAGTGTGTGCCACATATACACTCATAATGACCCTCTGCTGGAGACAGGGATTATAGATGGGGAACATCTGGGTTCTGAGGCTATTTCAACGTGAAGGGAGAGGCTGCTGCTTGCCCCTGGCTAGCTGTTCAACTCAAAAGGCCACAGCTATGAACCCCATGAGAGGAGACTGATGAGGACAGGCTTGTTAGACAATCACAGCTGGAGGCAGGGGTAAATTTAGCCTTTGTTCAGCCCCCAGTTATGTGAGGGATGCAGGACTCAGGGCTGTGGAGGGAGGGGAACAGGTGGCATGGGATTAACCCTGTTCCTAGGAAACCCTCCCCCCTATAATTCCTCCTCTTGGGATTCTCCCAAGGCCCAGGCTGGGAATGAGACTGAGGTGGCTGGGCTCTCAGCCTGGTCCCTTTGGGCCCCTCCCCAGAAGTGGCTGCCAGTTGGGTTGGGAGGACTGCTGGAGAGGGTTTCAATAAGCCCTGTCATCTCTCCTCACCTGCTCTTTTCTTCTACAGATCGAGTTTAACAAGGACCAGCTGGAGGGTGAGGAGACACTCATTCCCTAAGCCCCACTGTCCAATCCCAAACCCCTGGTCAGAATCCTTGTTTCCCTAACTCAGTCCCAACCTTGAAACCTCCCACACTTGTCCTCTTTTTCCTCCTATGTTTTGCTCAGCTCTAGCACATACTTTCTGAACCTCTCTTCTGTCTGAAAGTGATAGAATCCCTGGTCAACATTAACTTCTTATATCTCAGAATTCAAAGAGGCCTTTGAGCTGTTTGATCGAGTCGGTGATGGCAAGATCCTGTATAGCCAGTGCGGCGATGTGATGAGGGCCCTGGGCCAGAACCCTACCAATGCTGAGGTGCTCAAGGTCCTGGGAAACCCCAAGAGTGATGGTGAGAAGAGCCCTAGAAGGGAGAATTCTCATATTCTCTCCCTCCACCCCCCACCAAGTCAGGATCTCTTGTAACCCAGGCTGAGAATAACCTTGAACTCAGATCCTCCTACTCCCACCTCCCTAGTACTGGAATTAACAGGCATATGTCACCAAGCTAGTTTATGTGGCACTAGGGATTAAACCCAGGGCTTTGTGCAAGCTAAGCAAGCCCTCTATCACTGACCTATATCTCTACCATACTTTTTACTATTGTTTGCTTTGAGATAACATAGCCCTAGCTAACCCGAACTCTTGATGTAGACCAGGCTAGTCTCGAACTCACTGAGATCCACCTGTCTCTGCCTCCCAAGTGTTGGGATTAAAGGCATACTTTTTCAAAGTATTTTATTTATTATTTTTATTTTATGTGTATGAGTGATTGCCTGCATGTATGTGAGTGCACCTGTGTCATGCAATGCCTTGGGAGGTCAGAAGAGGGCTTCGGATTCCCCTGGAACTGGAGTTAAGGATGGTTCGTAGCTGCCATTTGGGTGCTGGGAATCAAACCCAGGTCCTCTGCAAGAGCAGTGCTCTCAATCTTTTGAGCCATCTCTCCAACCCCTAAAGGCATACTTTTCACTTCTTGAAACAGGTTCTCACTAAGTTACCCAGTTTGGCCTCAAACGCGCTCTGGTAGCCCAGGCAGCCCTTGCACTTGTGATTCTCATCTCTTGGCTTGGCAAATCGGGATTAAAGGCCTATCCCACTAGTGCTAGCCCTCAGTTTTCCCTTTCTTTGTTTTTGAGTGTATTCCATCACTGCACTACATCTCCAGCCCCTGTATTTTTTTTTTTTTTTTTCTTTTGAGACAGGGTCTCACTAAGTTGCCCAGGTTGGCCTTGAACTTGCCTCGTGTCTGTGATTACGGACTTGTGCCATGAGCCTGGCAACGATGTGTTTTTAATGGTAGAACACTGGAAAGGTGACAAAGATGCTGGGCTGGATGGCAGGACTTCAAAAGCTATCAAACACAATGCGGAAAATATCCTGAATGCTAATTGGGGGGTGAAGGTCACTGTGGTAGTGATGGATGCAGGCTGGGTCCCAGGTGGTACCTCATTGACTTCTCTTTCTAATCTCCAGAGCTGAAGACCCGCCGTGTAGACTTTGAGACCTTCCTGCCCATGCTCCAGGCAGTGGCCAAGAACCGGGACCGAGGCACTTATGAGGACTATCTGGAGGGGCTTCGAGTATTTGACAAAGAAGGGAATGGCAAAGTCATGGGCGCAGAGCTGAGACATGTTCTCACCACCCTGGGTGAGGCAGGGACCAGAACTGTGGGGTGAAGAGGAGGGGGTGGACAGAAAGAAGCTTGGTGAGTCAGGCAGAGGTAGGGATGGGATTACTGTCCTGCAGGTCAGGGGCAGGAGACAGAGGTCAGAATCGTGGGAGCAGAATCTGGGGAACTTGTTCCTCTAGAAGCTAAAGTGTCCAGCAAAGGGCAGAGGGCAGGGAATGAGGTGGGCGCCCCATGTTCCCCCTTTGGAAGCACCCTCTGTGCTGATTCCATTCAAGTCCCAACCCTCACGCTGTCCTTCGGTGGAAGCTTTCACCAGCTCCAAGCACCGTTAACGGAGGTGATATGGAAAGCAGAAGACAGGGTGCAAGGAGGTGTCGGTTGGGCTGGTGGGGAAGGGAAGACAGGGGCGTCAACACTGTTTGGGGTTCAGGAGAGAAGATGACTGAGGAAGAGGTGGAGACTGTTCTGGCAGGACATGAGGACAGCAACGGCTGCATCAACTATGAAGGTGAGGGCCAGGCAGAGGCCGCGGGGTGGGGCACCTAAAGTGCGGTGGGGTTACCCCAAGGTCTGCTTCGGCCCTCTCTCGTCCTCTCACGCAGCCTTCCTGAAGCACATCCTAAGCCTCTGAGCAGCAAGGCAGGTCTTCCAGCAAAGGCTCGGGCTGCCGGGAGAGCGGGAAGCCTTCCCGGCCAGCGGCGCCCGATGGGTGCGCCAGCTCCCTTTCCCCCGCACTGCTGCGGTTCGCGTCCACCTCCCAGCGCTGGAAGCTTTTCCTGCCACTAGGCGGCCACTTAGTGTTCGGAAATAAAGATGCGGTTCCCGTCTTGGCCTCCGAGTCTTTCTTGAGGAGGGGGAGGGGGCCTCTTTAGAGGAAGGCGACGGAGGGAGGGTCCGAGTCCTGCTAGTCGGGCTGCTCGGAGGAGCGTCTACGAACGCCCGGCACCAGCTCAGCTCGGTTCCTGCGTGTGTAGGGCACCCTGCCTCTCACCTCCCTACACCGCGATGCGGGTAGCGTGGGCCAAGACCCGCATTCCTATTGGCTGAAACCGCCGCGGGTGACGTCACGGACGTACTAAGAGCAGGGTTGGGCCTGGCGTCGGAGCCATTACTGCAGGAAAAGGTCCCGCAGAGCTGAGCAGTCAAGATGGTGGGCCCGGGAGCTCGGGGGACGAATGGGAGTTGGGGGCAAGGAGGAAGCCTCGGGTCAGGGAGAGAAGGCAGTGGACGGGGGCAAACGGAAGCTGGGGGGTTGGAAGGCTGGAGGTGGGTTGAAAGGACTGGGGCTCCGTCCTGGGAAGCGAGTCCTTAGCCTGAAACAGGAGTTCGTGAGGCCGGGATGGAAACTTGAGGGGTTGGAGTTCAGGCGCTGACCACTCCGTTCTTCTCCGAGCAGTGTGACTTCACCGAGGACCAGACCGCAGGTAGGCCGTCTCTGAACCCCAACAGAGCACATCCCCCTCTAGTACCTACTCTCCAACCCCAACCTGTCACCTCTCCAGCACTCCAGGAATGCCCCCTGGATTTCCTTTTCCCCCAATTTCCGAGCCCTCTATTTTCTTCTCATTCTTTCTTCCTTACCCTTCCACTCTAGATCTGCGCCCCAAACACTGGGTGAGTTTTAGGTGGTGTGGGTCCGTGAAACGACTTCACTTAATGCCTGTTGTGTGGGGCTTGGGAAGGGTGTGCTTATCTGTCCCTTAATCAGCCTTTTCTGCCTCTTCTCTCCTCACTGTCCCCCTCCTTCAGCTTGGAATTGTGAATACTGTAAAGGGGAGTAACTTGTTTTGTGAAGGGGCTGGGAGTTTGCTAAGGATGTGACTACGTTCCACCCCCTGGAAGGTCTCTTTGTAGGGGAAGGGTGGGAAGTGGGAGGGTAGAATGAACCTAGAGTCCCTGGCCGGTGCTCCTACTTCCTTATATGGACAGGCCCTAGACTGGGCGGTGGCAAATTCCTGCCCTGTGTGGTGTAGAGACTAGGCAGGCCTGCTGCTGGCAGAGGGGGGTATGTTAGTGCATGGCACCATGCTGTTAAGACTGTGTCTTTATGTGGGACATTTGAGTTGGGAGAAAGAGATCCCTATTAGCAGTCTTGGGTGTACAGGAGGGCAGAGATCTGATTTCTGCAGCATGATTAAAGTTGAATTGGCAGGAAAGTTCGGACAGGGTAACTGGGTTAACCCCCAGTGCTGATGTTCATCTGAATCCTTAGAATTCAAGGAGGCCTTCCAGCTGTTTGACCGAACAGGTGATGGCAAGATCCTGTATAGCCAATGTGGAGATGTGATGAGGGCCCTGGGCCAGAACCCTACCAATGCTGAGGTGCTCAAGGTCCTGGGGAACCCCAAGAGTGATGGTGAGCATCCTCAAGAACAACCTAGTGTGGCAGTGGGTCATCTGTTCACTTGCATTCCCCACAGTCTTGCCCTGAGCACTTCTGTGATTTCTCTGGTCTGACACTTCTGTCCCTCATGCCAGAGATGAATGTGAAGGTGCTGGACTTTGAGCACTTCTTGCCCATGCTACAGACTGTGGCCAAGAACAAGGACCAGGGAACCTATGAGGATTATGTTGAAGGCCTTCGGGTGTTTGACAAGGAAGGGAATGGTACCGTCATGGGTGCTGAAATCCGTCATGTCCTTGTTACACTGGGTAAGGCTCTGTCCTTTTTTCTGAAGTTAAGATGCCACCTTGATATACTTCACCTGCATCCAGTTCTAAAAATGTTCTTTCCTCTACAGGTGAGAAAATGACAGAGGAAGAAGTAGAGATGCTGGTGGCAGGGCATGAGGACAGCAACGGTTGTATCAATTATGAAGGTAGGGGGCCTTTGAGGAGGAACGATTATCTAGGGCATGTTAAGGAAAGCACCTGAGGTTTTTTTATTCCTAGACTTGGTTCCAAAAGGAGCCAGGAAGCAAGGGGTAGAGCCCAGCTCAGCCTGGGAGGGGGAGGCTGGAGATGTAACAGTAAAGGAAGGGGTGATGGGTATGAAGGGTGGGGAAGGAATGGAAAGTAAACAGAATGTCTGTTCCCCCACCACCTGACCCCCTCATCCCATGTCTGTGTCTTGTCTTTACCATTAATGTCTCTTCCTTCCTGCAGCGTTTGTGAGGCATATCCTGTCGGGGTGACGGGCCCATGGGGCGGGTACGGCTCCTCCAAGCCTCTCCTCTAGTTGATCTTCCCGGTGTTTCTTTTTCTTCCCAACCTGTGCTCTCTAGCCCCTGCCCTGACCCTATTACCATCTGACTTCCTTCTGGCATGTTTCTGCATGGAGCTGGCTAGGGAGGGGAGGGGAGGGGAGGGGAGTCCTCAAAGAGGAAGGCAGCTTGGGGGTATGGTACCTCCTTCTCTCCTACAATGGTCTCTGAGGCTTGACTTAACAGGGTCTTGGGTGCTGGTGCCTGGGAACTCTCACCAGCTAGTAGAGCAGGCTTGTCTTAGAGTGATCCTCCTGGAGCATGGAGAGTTGACAAAGGTGGGGTGGGCTGCTTGCCCAATTCTGCTGCTGTAACTGAACTGTCCTTTTTCCATCCCTCTGCTGGGCAGCTTGGAGGTACCCTAACCCAAAACTCTCTTCCTCCTGCCAGTGGCTGACAGTAGCCATAGGTGTAGTTGAGAACTTTTCTGCCTCTGCTGTGTTCTTGCCGCTCAGAGTGGGGTGGGGGGCTAACAGTTGGTGGGAGGGGAGCCAGGGGCAGAGAGAACTGGTCACTCAAGGTGGTTGGTTGCTGTGGGCATGTTCCCTCACGCCACCTTCATGGTCTTGTAGTCTCCTGGCCCATGGTATACCCCTTCCCAGCCCTCTCCTTGCCTTACTCCACCTCCTCTCCACAGAGCTTGTCCGGATGGTGCTGAATGGCTGAGGACACCCCCATATCTGGAGCCCGTGCCTTGCCCTGTGTGAGATTTCTGTGTCTCCTTATCATAGCACCGTTTGCATCTGGTCTCTTCTGGATGATGTTTGCTGTTAGCATTCACCAAATAAATTTGCTCTCTTTGCCCTATTTTGGTTGTGTTTTCCTTCCTGAACAGGGTGAAGAAGGAAAAGGTGAGATGGTAATGATTTCTGCCAAGATAGAGCCTGAGGCCGATGGCACAGAATTAGGACTGGCCTCATTTATAAAAAGCTACTACTACTCCTTTGTGGAATGAAGAAAGCCATAAATCCCTGTAGGATCAAAGCTAGCTATCTTTTGGGGGTATGTGTGTGCGTATGTGGGGAAGGCATCTTTTTGTTCAATCCTGTATCTGATTAAATCTCTTTGCTTCTTCAAACCAAACCCCCACCCTCCCAAGCACTGAAGGCCTTTTGTGGAAAAGCCTGTGAGTGTTTATTGTAGCTGAAACCAGGACATATTAGCAATGCCAGAGCCTGTCTTGTCACATCTGCAGGGCTGGGGCCAATAGCATCAAATGTAGATGAAGGCCTGTCTCTTCCCTAATAAGGGAAGGAATGCAACCACTACTTCTGAAAGTAGTGGTTCTTCTGTAGGGATGTGCTTCCAAGTGTTAAATGCTATTTTCAGGGCAGGTGAGAGCCCCTGCTGCGCACTGCAGTCCTAATGGGCTGCTTCTCCCTCCCTGGTAAATACCCAGTGAGGGACTCCAGGACAGCCACCCCCAAGCCTGATCCCCTGCCTAACAGCCACAGGTAAGAGAACACAGATGCATCCACAAGATAGAACTGAAAGCAAATTAATTTATAAAAAAAAAAAAAAAAAAGAAAGAAAAAAAGGAAGGAAAGAGAATTTTACAGAAAACTTTGAACAGAAGGAAGGTGCCAAGACACAAAAGAAGAAAAACACGGGACATGAGGAACAAAGGGCCTGGTGGGAGGGACGGAGAGAATTGGTGTAGTGCCTGGGATCCCAGCTGCCTCCACATCAACTTATATATAAGGAGGAAGAACTGGAATAGGGAGGCACTCAAGTCCTAGGAGCAGAGCCATGCTGTGCTGCCCCTAAATCTGTCCTCGTTTGGGGAACTCCTAGCTACCAGTGAGGTTTGGTCAGGCCTGGTGGGAAAGGGCAGGGATAGGAAAGCGTCCCACTGAGTCATAGGAAGGAGGTGCGTGATTTTCCACATCTCGGGTTTTGCCAACTCCTCATCTGCTTAGAGCTTCCTTTTCCATGCCTTCTAGGCACTCAGGGATACAGGGAAGAGGGAGAATAGCTCCCACCACCCTTCCTCTATTACCTATCACAGAATCCCCCCCAAATAATTTCCCCACCAAATACACAAACACATCAACTAAGCAGGTGATTTTTAAAAACAAACACAAAACTGACATTCAGAGGGAAAGGTCATTGGCTGAGCTGGGGTGGCCTAAAACAGCATCAATGACGAAGCAGCAGGAGAGATTAGTATGAATGAACTGGTGGAATGGTGAGGGGAGCTGACTCTACCAAGGGACTCAGACAGGCTTGGTACCCTATTCCATCCCCAGAGCTCTCCCCAAAACCTTATAACCTATCCTTTCCCCCTTGGTTAAATGTGAAAGTTGGTTGCTTTTTGTGGGTTCCAAATGTGTCTTTAAAATCTACCTCCTTTCAAAGGGCTTCATTTTCTTGATATCCATAAAAAATGCAGTAATTCTGAAGGTTAGAGTAGAACCTTGTATAAACACCTTTCCCATCCTATCCTTCCCCAGACATTAGAAACATCTTTTAGTCAGAAGTCCGTGAATAATAACTGGATATAAAACTACGGCCTCTGCTGGGCATGGTGGGGGCTGTGGAGGGGCAGGAGGAGCTTTCCTTACGTAGTGATGAACTCTCCAGGCTGGGGGAGGGTCCAGGTGATGGGGGAGGGCTGTTCCTGGAACTGTGATCTCCATGGGGAATGAAGGGAGAGATGGCTGGCTGGCTCCTCACTGTGGAGGTGGCACAGGAGTAACTGTGCCTGGGCTTGGAGCTGTGGGGTCTGGAGGCAGAGGGGTGCCTGGGTCTGTAGAGAAAAGGAAGACAAATCAGTTGGAGCAAGCAGAGGGATGGATTCAGCCCCCGGCTCCACACACACAGAACTGGCCATGGCATGCAGTGGGTGGGTAGATGAATGAAGTACCCATAATGTACAACTTCTCTATCCCAACACCCTTTTCCACCTGACACTGGGAAAATCTACTGATACTCCAAACCATCCTGCCCCCAAGGAACTCTAAATGGGGCATCTGAGTGTAATGAGAACAAGCAAAGGGATGCCAACCATCATGCAAACAGGTAAATAGTTTTCAAGTTTACAACTGAGAACCTCTGTGCCACCGGACTCCAAGACCCACCAGTGAAAGGCCCCAACGTCATCCCAGAGGTGGCAGCTGCCAAGTTGGGAAATGGAGGACAGCCAGAGAGGCCCTTCCTTCTGTATTCTAATTTCACCAGAGTGTTGAAAATGGATCTTGAAAAATTCTAGTATCTGACCACTTCCCCACCTGCCCTCCCTCTCCCTCCATGAGAAGCCCTCTCCCTCACCCTTCTCCCCTCCTTGCCCCTTCTCACCTGGCAGTGGGCTGGCACTGGGCAGGAGGTTGCCCTGAACAGCTGCCACAATGGCAGGGCTCTGGGCTGCGGCGGATCCGAGCCCCGGCCCGAGAGGCAAGGAAGATGGCATGGTGGTGGTCGCCGGCAGGTTAGGATGTAGAGGGTTCGCCATGGACACAGGCAGGTTAGGTGGGGGGAGAGTGCCCGGGGCGAACGGGAGATGGTGGTGATGCCCATGCAGGTTAGGAGGAGGGGGAAGGTTAATACTGATGGAGTCAGCTAGACTACCAAATGGGATGATGGATGGAGCAGCAGGAGGAGGAGGAGGCGGCATGCCAAAAGGCAAACCCAAAGGAGCATTACCCGCCACGCCTGGGTGCCCGCTGCCTGGCACTGCCCCTGGCATCATTGAGGGAGGAGTTTGTTGGTTGGGGAACGGTGAGGGGCCTAGGAATAAAGAGGAGAGAAATAGGTCAAATTTTGTTTTCCTACTCAAGTTCCACTCTCTAGCTACTACTTGGTGCCATCTTCCCTTTTCCTGACACTACAGTAAGTGGTAAATTCTTGGACTAAAACTCCAGCGCTGAGTTTGGGGAGATATCCTTGCTAGTTCATGGACATAACACAAATAAGCCCATCTGCAGAAACTGCAACCAACCCTCAACTCCAGGCCCATGGTGTGTCCCCTTCAAGGGAGACTAGGACATCTGCTTGGATCTCTAGCCAATAAATGTTCTGGAACCCACACTCACCATGGGGTCCAGGGGGGGGTACCCCTGGTGGGACTGCCCCAGGCTGGGGGGCTCCAGCTGGTTGTGGCTGCTGTGGCACTGCAGTTGACCCTGCCTGCCCAATCTGTTCAGAAGGGCCCAAGCTTCCTGGAGGGGCCCCACTACCAGCAGGAGCAGGGGCCACTGAGGCTGGAGCCACAGCTAGGCCATGGACTGTGGGTGGCCCAGCAGCCCCTGTGGGAGGTATGGGCTGAGAGCCTGGGGGCAGGGCTGGTGGTGGCTGCTGCTGCTGTTGGTGCATCTGTTGGAAGTGCTGCTGCCGGGCCCTCATCTCTGCGTACTTGAGCTGCTCCATGTGGAAGGCTTGTCGGTCAGCCAGGAGCTGCTGCCTCTGATACTCCAGCTGCCAGTGTCAATGAGATACTGTTAACAGATTCTGGAAGATCCTATGGCAAATCTGTACCTTCCACTTTTTCTTTTGAAAGACCCTAACTCTCATGCAAGGTGGTTCCCCAGGTCTAAACCGTGTACTTCCTCTGACCTCCCCACCCCACTACTTGTATGCATGTCTCCTTACTGCACTGGCGTTAACCTGGTGGCAGTCCTGGCTCATTTCAGTTCCAAAGCTTTGAATTTATCATTACCTTGATTAGGAAAATGCTTCCAGGTCCTGTCAATTCAAAGTTAGCTAGAAACTTACTATCCTAAGGAAGCCACCCCAGATTAATTTACTTGTCTCTGAGCTTTGACTTTATTCTGTCATCGCAAGTTCTTTTTTGTTTATTTTTGGTTTTTTTGAGACAGGGTCTCTCTGTAGCTCCAGCTGGCCTGGAACTTGCTATGTAGATGAGGCTGGCTGCCTGTCTCTGTCTCCCAAGTGCTAGGATTAAAGGCATGCCTGGCTTATTTTTGATTTATTTGGTTTTTTTGGAGTCAGGGTCTTCCTATGTATCCCTGACTGGCCTAGTACTCACTATGTGGCCTAGACTGGCCTTGAATTTGCAGGGATTCTCCTGCTTTAGTCTTCTAAGTGCAATAATTACCAGTATGCACCATCATACCTGGCTCCTGGGACTTAAACATTTGATAGAAAATCTTTTTTTTTTTAAGAGTTTTTTTTTTTGTTGATTTTTGTACTTGTTTTTGGTCTTTTTAAGACAGGTCTCACAATTCAGCTGGCCTGGAACTCGGTATGTAGATCAGGCTGGTGTTGAACTCACAGAGATCCATCTGCCTCTGTCTCCCCAGTGCTGGGATTAAAAGTGTGCCACAATGCCTGGCCTTTAATAAGAGTTATTTTATTTTTAATTATGTGTATGTTTGGGCTAGAGAGATGGTTTAGCAATTAAGATCACTTGCTACTCTTACAGAGAACCTGGATTTGGTTCCCAACACCAACAGGATGGGTCACAACCATCTCTAACATGTAGACAAAACACTCATACATATCTTTTTCTTTCTTTCTCTCTTTCTTTCATTGGGGGGAGGGGAAGGTCTCATTATGTAGCTCTAGCTGTCCTGGAACCTGGAGACAAGGCTGGGCTTGAACTCACAGAGCTCTGCCTGCCTCTGCCTCTCCAGTGTTGAGATTAAAGTTACACCTGGCCCTAAAAAACCTCTTAATTTGAATTTTCCAGATATTTTCAGTATTAACTGTTTCTGATGTCTCCCTGTTATATATTGTAAACTTATAAGTTCTCCAAGGGCAGGGACCCTGTCTTCTATCTCCTTTTACATCCTTTCAAAGATAAACTGGTTTAATATTTATCTGTCTATCCCAAATTCATCTCCTGGATCTGTCCCCTCGTCTCCCATCATCCCTTAAGCCTGTTGAGTCGCTCATTTATTGAGACTCTAGTAAGGATGAAGCACCGTTCCCGGACCTGGAGATGAAGCAACCAAAGACCTTGGTTAGCAGCCTCCTCCTTCCATGCAGCTGATATTCTGTAGAACCTCAGTCTCCAGGCATCATGTGGGAGGCTGCTTGGCCTTGACTTTCTGGGGCCCACTCCCCAAGCCCTAACCTCCTCTGCTGTGAAGCCTTGGGAGTCTTGGGATTCCTAGGCTCAGTCTTCAGGCTGGGCTCCAGGTTCCCACTTCTCTAAAGGGATGTTACTCACTGCTTCTCGCTCCCGGTCCATTATTGTCTCCAGCTCCTCAAAATGGCGGAGTTTGATCTCCAATTTTTTCATTTGGGTCTCCACCAGCAGGGCCACCAAAGATTTGATCTTCCTCTCCTCAACAGCAGCCAAGTGCTAGGCAAAGAAGAATGAGACAGCCTGTAAGCAGGAGGACTCAGCTGCAGACATTCCAGGAGACAGGGCAGGATGGATGCTGGCAGGTCATTGAAGGAAGTAGCTATAGTCACAACCCACCTAGAGTATTACAACCTTCAATTATTTATTTATTTTATTTTTGGTCTTTGAGACAGGGTCTCCCTGTAGCCCCAGCTGTCCTGGAACTCACTATGTAGACCAGGCTGGCCTTGAACTCACAGAGATCCACCTGCCTCTGCCTCCCGAGTGCTGGGGTTAAAGGTGTGCACCACCATGCCCGGCTATTTATTTATTTACTTATTTATTTAGACAGGGTCTTCCTGTAGCCTCAGCTGGCCTGGAACTTGCTGTGTTGACTAGATTGGCCTTGATCTCACAGAGATCCACCTGTTTCTGCCTCCTGAGTGCTGGAATTAAAGGCATGTGCTACAAGGCCTGGCTCAACCTGAATTTTTTAAATAAAAAGCATGAGGAAAAAGAGGAACAAGAGCCAGGTATGGTGGCACACGCCTGCAGTCCCAGCACTTGGGAGGCAGAGGCAGGCAGATCTCTGTGAGTTCAAGGCCAGCCTGATCTACATAGTGAGCTCCCGTACAGCTGGGGCTACAAGGAGACCCTGTCTCAAAAAGACAAAAAAAAATAAAAATAAAAAAATTAAAAGGGAATAGGCCAGCATTATTTAAGTAAGGTGTGGGCAGGGAAAGGTTTCTTCCACAAGAAGTGGCAGCTTCTTGTCTGGGCTCTCTGACTGCTGACTGGCCTCACCTTGGCCTTCACTGCAGCAGCAGCCAGGGCAGCGGCAGCAGCTGTGGAGAGGTTGCCCTCACCGATGTCGCGTTCCACCTTTGTCTTCCTCTCTCCCTCGGACTCCACAACTTCCTTCAGCACTTCCTCCTGTCCCTCCTTCGGCTCCTTATCTTTCTCAGGATCACCTGGGCCAGGACAAAGGCTGAGTTAGCCTTGCAGCTTCACATCTCTTTCCTGTGCCCCAATCACCATTCTGCGGGGAGGCTCACCAACTGGGTCCCCATCATTCTTCTCTGACTCCTTCTCACTGTCACCTTCTTTCCCTTTCTCTTCATCCTTCTTGGGAGCCTCACTTGCTTTCTCCTTTGGTTCTTCCTCTGCAGCCCCTCCTCCTTCTCGTGGTTCCTGCAGTTCCAGTGGAAGAAAGGAAGACATCAGGGGAAGCAGCGACTGGCACTCACACCAGGGCCCAAATATTTATTTATTTATTCATTTATTTACTTACTTATTTATTATTTATTTATTTACTTATTTTTATTTATTTTTGTGTGTGCACAGTGCATGGCCATATGCAAGCTGAAGCCAGAACAGAACTCTGGGTGTCCTCCATAGAGGAAGGCTCTCTGCCTTATTGTCTTGAGACAGATCCTGCCCCAGTGATGGGGTTACAAACATGCTCAGTGATACAGTTTTTCCCAGTTTCCCAGTTTCATTGTTGTTTATTTTGTTTTTTTGAGACAGAAGAAAAACAAAAACCCATTACAGGCTGTTGTCTTGAGACAGATCCTGCCCCAGTGATGGGGTTACAAAACATGCTCAGTGATACAGTTTTTCCCAGTTTCCCAGTTTCATTGTTGTTTATTTTGTTTTTTTGAGACAGAAGAAAAACAAAAACCCATTACAGGCTGGCCTCAATCTCACAGCAATCTGCCTCTGAGTGCTCCATCTCCGAAGTGCTAGGGATTAAAGGCGTGCACCACCACGCTTGGATAATGCCCAGTTTTGTACCAAGGTGCTGGGATTCAAACTTAGGTCCTCATGCTTGCAGAGCAAGCGCTCGCTCTTACCCACTAAACCATTTCCCTAGCCCCAACTTTGCCCTTCTTACTTCAGGGGTGATTTGGCTCCAGGAGATTGCCCGTCACTGGATTCCCCATCACCACAGAGCTGGACCCAGCAGCCCCACCTAGTCCCAGGTCATTCCCTCTGTACCTTGGGCTCTTTCTTCTCATCTGCTGCCTGGCCTTCTGTCCGTGCCTCATCAGTCCCACTCTCCTCTGGAACCATGGGGAAAGCAAAGGAAAGGAAAGGAAAGAAAGGAGAAATGTCTGATAGAGTCTCGTTTGTGTAACCATTTCCCAGTTGCTGAAGCCTTAAAGAGAGGACAAGCAGGAGCCAAAGTCCCTACAGTGAAGTCCTGGGGGAAAGTAAAACCCCACCAGCTCTCCCACTTGTGCTGTGACTTGATGTCAACGTGGGGCAGGAATGAGGCCGGGACAGCACTAGGAGGCCAAGTGGTTCTGGTTCCTGGTGAATAGGAAGAATTCTAGAGACTTGCCAGGACTTACCAATGCGCTCAGGCTCATCAGAGGTGGTTCCTGCAATGCCACTGCTTTCCAGACCGAAGGCTGGGTCTGCTTTGCCTGTGACTTTAGCTGCTTCTTCTACTTTCCGAACATGGGCTTCCACCAAGGCTGTTGGCACCTCTTCCTTCATTTTGGAGAACTCTTCTGCAAACCCAGAGGGGATAAGGCAGGGACAGAGCAGGTGAGCAGTTCTGGTTATCCCTGTGAAAGCTTCCTCACAAGCCCATCTCTTCCTCTATGACTAGCATGAAATCTAGACAGGTGCCTGAGCTGAGGCAGCAACAGACAAAGCTGGCAGGGCAGCCATACTTGAGGTTTCACAGTCTGAGTATCCAGCCTTTCAAAAGCACAGTAAGGAGACCCCCCCCCCCCTGCCAATTACCTAGGGCTGACTTTGCAGCAGCAGAGGCGACTCGGGGATCGACAACGGAGGCCAAGAAGGCAACAGTGCTCATAACAGGGTTGCCCGACTGACTGAAGGGGATGGGCTGGTAAGCCAGAGGGCCTAAGGAGGCCTCTGAGTCCTCCAGGTAGGGGTCTTCAATGGGAAGGCGAAGAAAATGGAGGATACATTCATCCTGCGTCCGGCTTCCCACATGTTCGGATACTTTGTTCCAGTCATCCTTGTACATTTCCAGGGCCTGGCGGTAGTGGTAGAGACATAACTCTGCTTACTTAGTCACTTTCCTCGAAGGTCAACTCCCCACATCCTACTAAGGGCAGCTGGGTGTGTGTACTCTGCTGGATCTAAAAGGGGGATCTCCAAGTAGCACTAAGAAAGGATATGGAGTTAGTGAAATGGCCTGAATCCCTGGATTAGAGCTATTTCTGTGACAGGTGTGACAGGCATCAGGAAGAGAAGTGACTAGAGCAAGACCATACTCTGTCCATGCCAGACTCCATGAGCTCCCCACTCACAAGGGCAGCTAGTTCCCCAGCCACCTGTTTTCATACCAGAGCTCTCCTTGCTTTGTCCCCATTACCTCCAAGAGTAGCAGGGTCTCCTGTTCTGTCCACTCTCGAGTGGCACTGGCTGCAGCTTTACTCTGCAGGAGAAACACAGGTAAGTCAGGAGAGAGGCATCTGTAAACGGAAAGGTTCTCTATCCCACAATGGCTGTACCTCATACCTTAGAGGGGACATTCTTCTTAGTGTACATGTCTGTGCGCAGTCCAAAGTTCTGCATGTCTGTTGGTTTCTCTTTGCCTTTGTCAGGAAAGCTCAGCATTTGTTGGGAAGCAGAGCTCTGCTATTTGTGGAGGGAAAAGAAAGAGGTGAGTACAAGTGGCCATTGGGAGTCAGAGGCGGACAGAGAGAGAAAACAGACAGAAGGAGCTTTCTTCCCGGTGTCAGGCATGGGCCTGGGCGGGACTTCCTCCCTTACTGCTGCAGCTCCTCTGCTCTCACATCTCTTTTTCCCAGGCAGGGGCCCCCCAGTGAAGGGGCAAATAAGCAGCCCAGCAGGGTCTGCACCCCACCTACCAGCTCTGGCTTGCCCTTAGCCGCCTCTGGCACCAGGTCATCCAGCTCTTTGCCCTTTCGCCCAGCCTTGGTATCAGCATCAACCTGGCGGCCCTGGGGGACAGAGCTTGGCGTCATGGAAGCTGGGTAGGAAATGGCCACACCAAGGCCTTGGAGGCCTGAAGACCAAATGCTGGGCAGCCCACAAGCTCTGGGAGAACTCATGCCACTGTTCCATGCTGCCTCCATGATTAATCAGACATGTAGTGGGCATGATAGACATTTGTATTCACACATATCTTTCCAGATTCTCTTAGGAGCTGGACAATAAGGTTCTAAGCCTAGATTCAGTAATCTGTGTCCCTGTGCAAGTCACATAACTTTATTCTCTTTTAAAATAATGTATGAAATGGAAATGAAAAAAATGAAAGTGATAATTATGAGGCAAAAAATGAAAAAATGTGGGAAACATGGCAAACTCTAAAAAGTTCACACAAGTTAATTTTAAGCATTCTTTTCTATCTGCTTCATCTCCTACATTAGCCTGTCTTTCCTGGGACAAGGAACAACTTTTTTCCCTCACAAGGGCTCACAGCCTTAGGCTGAATGAAAGTGCTAAACACAGGGGTCTGGTTCCTGTGGCCTTTTCCAAGCCATGGAAAAGGAAGAAGCCTTACAACATTCCTGAACCATTATCCTAAAAAAAAAGAAAAAGAAAAAAGAAAAAGTCCAAAGAAGCCCAGTCTTACCCACCCAGCCTTGTCCCCACAGCCCCTCACCCTACCTGCGGGGTCTTGGGCTGAAGAGGAACCAGCCCTGATGGTGTGTCTGCCAAGACATGGAAGTGAGAAGTGGGTGGAGGACCCATGGGGGTTGGTCGACTCTCAGCATCCACCTGGTAGTTAATAAGACCCCACTGTTCTAGGAAGGCATGGACCCTGTGAGAGAGGCACAGTCAGGGTTACAAGGGATAACCAGAGAGGAGGACCAGGGACATAAAGCTCCCCCTCCCATCACTCACTCACCACCTAAATAGCAGTGACACCCAAGTACACACCTCCAGGCTGGACTTCACACCATGGACACCCCCAGTAGACTTCTCTCCCTGGATGGCTAGTAAAGCTGGTCCACTGTCTTTCAGCTAAGGACATGCCCCTCTGTTTGTCTTTACTCCATATTTCCAATCCTTCAAGCCACTCATTCCCCAAACTTGTTCTGTGGCCTTTCTCTAGAGGGTCTGCTTCTGTCTGGTCTACTATGTTCCTTGAAGTTATCTCTAATTCTGCCAAGACATACACAGGCAGACATCCTCACACACCCCTTCTCAGCTACAAGACCCACCTCATGATAGCACAGACGTCACCTGCCAAGTTCCGACGACAGGCAGTAGAAGTTAGATATTCCTGGGGATTTAGTCGGTAAGTGTCAATCATGAAGTTTCGATATGCCAGGTAGCTTAGAAGAAACAAAGAGAAGAACAAGAGGAAGAAAAATAAAATTTGGTGAGGTTCAAGGAGACGAAAGTGATAAAAGAGCTAATGAACCCTCCTGTGTGATAGATGGAAAGAAACATGGTATTTGACTCAATAGAGAGCCTGGCATGTGCTCACTGCATGTGATGCTAATATCTCTGGCTTAAAAGGCTAGCGCTGAAAGCTTCATAATGTTTAGACTATTGTTGAGGATCAATTTTCAAAGTGCTTTAGTGGCACTATTTCTAGTACAATTGATATGAAACTGTGGTTCGAACCACAGATTTCTGAGCATTGTCCGTAGAATAACCCTGGGCGAGTTGATGTGATTGTGGCTTGATTAAGTCGCCCTGGAATGGCGTCTGTTTTTAGACCTAGGGAAGGAACGGCCCATGAGTGGAGCACATCTTCTGAGATTAATATTCGAATTGGTAGTTCTACTGGTAAGACCACGCGGTTGTCAACTTCTAGAAGTCGAAGTCTTCTTATTCTTATGCTTTCCTTGATTTTTTTTTTTTTTTTAACTATTGCCTTAATTATAACTGGAATTTCAGCCTCCCAATGCTGGGATTACACCATATGCCATCATGCCCATTTCACTGAACTTAAAAAAAATTTATATTTTGTTATTTTTACTTAATGTGCATAAGTGTATTGCCCACATGCAAGCAAGTGCTAGCTTTGGTTTTGACTTTTAAAATTTTTACTTATTGCCGGGCATGGTGGCACACACCTTTGATCCCAGCACTTGGGAGGCAGTGGCAGGTAGATCTCTGTGAGTTCAAGGCCAGCCTGGTCTACATAGTGAGTTCCAGGACAGCTGGGGCTACAGGAGACCCTGTCTCAAAAAGACAAAAAAAAAAAAAAAAAAAAAAAAAAAAAAATGCTGGGATTACAGGTGTGTACTACCACACTTGGATTTTTTTTTAATTATTTCTTTTCTTTTTTGAGACAGGGTCTCTGTAGCCCAGGCTGGCCTCAAACCAAGTATGACCTTTAACTCCAGATCCTCCTGCCTCTGCCACCCAAGTGCTGAGATTACAAGTGTGTGCCATAGCCTTTTTTTTCTAGTTAGTGGCTATGCATAATAGCTTTATTCATTTATTTTACATTTACTTATTGTGTATACGTGGACATGCATATACTATAGTGTATATGCAGAATTCAGAAGACAACTTGTGGGAGTCAGTTCTCTATCATATAGAATCCAGGAATCAAACTCAGATCATTAGGACTGGTGGCAACAGCCCTTACCCACTGAATCATCTCATTGGCCCCTATTTTGGCTTTTTTTTTTTCCTCTTTTTGAGACGGTCTCCCTGTAGCCCCAGCTGTCCTGGAACTCACTATGTAGACCAGGCTGGCCTTGAACTCACAGAGATCCGCCTGCCTCTGCCTCTCAAGTGCTGGGACTACAGGCATGCGCCAGCACGACCAGCCCAAAAATTAATTTATTTTTATGTTGTGTTTTGCCTACATGTATGTAAGTGTACATGTGCATGCAATACTCATGGAGGACAGAAAAGGGAATCAGATCCTCTGGAACTGGAGTTATGGAGCGTTGTTAGCCACCATGTGGGTGTTGGGAACTAAACCTAGGTCCTCTGCAAGAGCAGCCAGTGCTCTTAACCCGAGTCATCTCTCCAGCCCCAGATTTATTTTTATACATTTTCATTTATTAATTTTGTTAATGTGTGTATGTGTATATGCAAGTGTCATGGCACATGTATGGAAATCAGAGGACAATGTGGGAGTTGGTTCTCTCCTTCTACCATGTGGATCTTGGGGATTGAACTCAACTGTCAGGCTTGGCAGGAGAGGCCTTTACCCAATGAGCCATGAGCCATCCAGCTGTCTCTTTTTCTTGTCTTTTTTTTCATCATTATTATTATTATTATTACAATTTTTGGTCTGTTTGAGACAGGGTCTCCCCATAGCCCCAGCTGTCCTGGAACTCACTATGTAGACCAGGCTGGCCTTGAATTCACAGAGATCTGCCTGCCTCTGCCTCCCAAGTGCTGGGATTAAAGGCATGCACCACCACGCCCGGCCAGAATGTACTTTTTATCTTTTAATTATCAGAATTGGATTTTCCTTTTAGTTCTTTTTCTTGTTTTCTTTAAAAAATAATAATAATTTGGGGCTGGAGAGATGGCTCAGCGGTTAAGAACACCCACAACACAGCTAACAACTATCTGTAACTTCACTTCTAGGGTATCTGACAGCCTCTTCTGTCCTCCACAGGCATTGCACGACATGGTGCACTTACCTACAAGCAGGCAATACACACATACACACAAAAATAATAAAAATAAATAAATAAATAATAAATAATTTAAGCCAGGCATGGTAGACCTTTAGTCCCAGCACTCAGGAGGCAGAGGCAGGTGGATCTCTGTGAGTTCAAGGCCAGGCTGGTCTACAAAGCAAGTTCCAGGCCAGCGGGGGCTACAGGTCTCAAAAAGACAAAAAAAAAGAAAATTATTTATTTTTTTAAAAATCTGTATGTGTGGTTTTTGTTTGTTTTCTGTTTGGTCTTTTTGAGACTGGGTCTCCCTGTGGCCCCAGCTGGCCTGGAACTCCTTTTGTAGACCAGGCTGGACTTGAACTCTGAGATCTGCCTGCTTCTGCCTCCTGAGTGCTGGGACTAAAGGCATGAGTCACCACACCCAGCTGTTTGTGTGTTTTACCTTCATGTATGTAAGTATACTCATATGTGCAATGCTCACAGAGGCTAGAAGGAGACATTCGATCCCCTGAAACTGGAGGATGGTTGTTAGCTGCCACATGGGTGCTGAGAACTGAACCTGGGTCCTTTGGAAGAGCAGCCAGTGCTCTTAATCACTGAGTATTTCTCTAGGCCCTCTCATTTTCTTTTGTTTTGCTTCTCTTTTCTCTTTCTTTCTTTCTTTCTTTCTTTCTTTCTTTCTTTCTTTCTTTCTTTCTTTCTTTCTTTCTCTTTTTCTTTCTTTCTTTCCTTTCTTTTCTTTGAGACATGATATAGACAGCTCTCAAACTGGAGTTCCTCTTGCCTCAGCTTCCCATGTATTTAAGTGATGGGCTCTGGTTGTCTAATGGGAGGAAGGTAACATGTCTTTGTAAACCTGGCACAGTGCCTGGGTGGATGTTGCTAAAGAAATGTCACTTTAATGGTGCTAGATCTGAAAGGGTGAATAGAGAAAAGAGGGTAAAAGAAAATCGTGAGCTGAAATCTTACATCTCTGGAGTCTTGGACTTGTTTTTGCCGTTAAAGAACTCTGGGAGAGCCCTCCTTTCAATGGCATGAACACTATAAGACAAAATACAACAGATTCAGGAAAAGGTACTGTGGGAAGGATAGGAGCTCGAAAGGGAGGAAAGGCCTAGAAGGTGGGGTGGGAGAGCAGCTCAAAACTGGGAAGAACTTCCCAACAGGGCTGGAGGACTCCAAGAGACCAGGAGCTCCTCTAAAAGGAAGTGCACCCTGTCAATCTCACTGAAGAAGTAAGTTGTAGGAACCAGGAGAAACGACCCATTGATGAGCAGAAGGGAAGTAAGGGTAGAGGGCAAAGTTGGGACAATACCTGTTGTAGTCAAACCAGGCAGCATAGCTGGGAATGATGATGTGGTGGGTCTGTTCTGTCACGTTGTCCTCATGCAGGTCTGGGTTCTTGGTCTGCTCTCCCTTGTTCCCCGTACTGCTCTCATCCTCATCCTATGAGTATGGAGGCTGCTGGACACTCAGCATTCCCCTCTCCCCCCTGGCAACCCTCTGTTTCTCTATCCCCAGGAGCACGGACACTTATAAGTGATGAGGAGGGGCACATGGGCCCCAGGACTCTAAAGGAGCCAGAGTTTGAGCAATAGCTAGAATTAGTCTATAGTGGGAAAAGTATGGGCAGAAAGAATTTTATAATCACAGATCATATCACATAAAGGGGCAGAGCCTGTCTAAACTGGCTCCACCTTGCCCGTGGTCTCCATGCTTTCATCTTCTTGTTCATCTGAAAGAGAAAGAAGGGAAGATATAAGGCTGGAGCCTCCCAGGGAGCAGCAGAGATCTACTGGAAAGCCAAAAGGCTAGGTCAAGTGGTGGCTGAGCTTTCCCCGTACCTCAGGCACTGCTTGCCTTGCCTAAGGCTCCCTGTCTTACCCAGGTCAGTCATGGTGCCTCCTTTGACTGGGGCTGACTCCGAGTCCTTCTTAGTGTTGACTGTCAAGAGAAAGAGCCACTGTATCAGACATGTTCAATCAAAATCGAGCCCTCACCTCTCCACTGTTAACAGTTCTACATATCTTGCTTTCTCTAAAACTTTTGGAAACTTACTTGCTATGTCACTGACCCTTCCCAATCCAATGAGTCACTTAACTTCTTTATCTAGCTATGTATACAAACTCCTAAGATTCTCCTGCCTCAGCATTCCATAGGCCATTCTTGTCTTTGGCCAGTCCTTGTTTCCTTCGATGTATCTATAACCTTGCAATGGACTGAATCAGAACCAAACCAATGTGTACATGCGAGTTTAGATCCCCTCCCCACCCTTTGTGGTACTAGCAATTGAACCTAGAGCCTCATGCATGCTATGCAAGTGTTTTACCACTGAACTATATTCCCAGCCCTTTTTTTTTTTTTTTTTTTTTTTCCTGGTCTTTTTGAGACAGGGTCTCCCTGTAGCCCCAGCTGGCCTGGAACTCACAGAGATCTGCCTGCCTCTGCCTCCCGAATGCTGGGATTAAAGGCATGCATCATCATGCCCAGTGGGATTATAAACCTTTAAAAAATATATTTATCATTTTTAAAATTTTATTTATTTATTTATTATTTTGCTCTTTTTGAGACAGGGTCTCCCTGTAGCTCCAGCTGTCCTGGAACTCACTATGTAGACCAGGCTGGCCTTGAACTCACAGAGATCCGCTTGCCTCTGCCTCCTGAGTGCTGGGATTAAAGGCGTGCACCACCATGCCCAGCTATTATTTTTATTTTATGTGTATGAGTGTACTGCCTGCATGTATGTGAGAGCGCCCATGTCATGCAATGCCTCGGAGGTCAGAAAAAGGAATCAGATTCCCCTGTAACTGGAGTTAAGGACAGTTCATAGCCACCATGTGGGTGCTGGGAATCGAATCCAGGTCCTCTCCAAGAGCAGTCAGTGCTCTTAACCACTGAGCCATCTCTCCAGCCCTGGGATTATAAACTTAACCTCTGCCACTAGGCCTGGTTGAATGGCTAGATCTTTTGTTTTAATTTTTAAAAATTTTATTTATTTTCATTTTATGTTGCATGAGTGTTATGCCTGTATGTAAGTGCACCCATGTCATGCAGGGTCTGAGGAAGCCAGAAGAGGATGTCAGATCCGCTGGCATTGGAGTTAGTCAGTTGTTAGCTACCATGTGGGTGCTGGGATCCAAACTTGGTTCCTCTGCAAGAGTAGCTAATGCCCTTAACTGCTGAGTCATCTCTCCAATCCAAATGGCTAGATCTTATCTCTATCTCTCTATCTAATATATCATTCTATATATACTGAACTCACTAGTAGATCAGACTAGTCTGGATCTCACAGAGATCCGCCTGCCTCTGCCTTCCAAATGCTAGGATTCAAGGCGTGCGCCACCAGTACAGAGCACTTCCCTCAATTCATCTCATAAAAGAAGCTCAGAAGAAAACACCGAAAGGGAAGCTGACTGAAAGCAGCTTCTCAAAATTCATCCCTAAAATAAATTCCTGGAGCATTTGAAGTTAGCGGAGGGAATGAAGATTGCAAACCAGTATTGTAGCACACTGGTCTCCAAAGTGGGTTTCTCATGTAGGACACAAGACACGAGCCACTGCAGTACAGGAAGAGACTATCAGAACTCTTTTAATTGTTTCTACAACTTTTTAAAATTTTATTTTATGTATATGAGTGTATTGCCTGCATGTATGTGAGTGTACCCATGTCATGCAATGCCTCGGTCAGATTCCCCTGGAACTGGGGTTAAGGATGGTTCATAGCTGCCATGTGGGTGCTGGGAATTGAACCTGAGTCCTCTGCAAGAGCAGTCAGTACTCTTAACCCCTGAACCAACTCTTCAGCCCCGCTACAATTTTTTTTTTTTTAATTAAATTTAGCTGGGTGTGGTGGCACATGCCTTTAATCCCAGCACTCAGGAGGCGGAGGCAGAGGCAGGCAGATCTCTGTGAGTTCAAAGCCAGACTGGTCTACATAGCGAGTTCCAGACCAGCTGAGGCTATAGGGAGACCGTGTCTCTAAAAGAGTGAAAAAAAAAAAAATTAAATTTGGGGCTGGAGAGATGACTCAGCAATTAAGAGCATTGGCTGCTCTTTCAGAGGACCCAGGTTTGAATCCTAGCACCCACATGGTGGCTAACAACTGTCCATAGTTCCAGGGAATCCAATGCCCTCTTCTGACCTTCACAGGCATTGCATGACACCATGACACGGGTGCACTTAAACACATGCAGGCAATACATTCAAACACATAAAAAAATAAAAATAAAAAAATAAATTTAAGGCCAGAGGTCTATATCTGTCTATCTCTATCACTCTCACTGGACTTCTCACTGACCCAGGAGCTCACCGATTTAGCTAGACTGGCCGGAAAGCAAGCCCCTGGGATTCTCCTGTCTCCAACTTCCAATGTTGGGATTATAGGCACACACTGCCACACCCAGCTTTTTTTCGGTGCTAGGAATCTGAACTCAAGTCCTCATACCTGCATAGCAAATGATTTACCACTCCACTGAGCCATCTCTCAGGGTCTCATGTAGCCCAGGCTAGCCTAGAATGTGCTATGTAAAGGAGGCCAGCCTTCAATTACTGATCCTTCTGTCTCCACCTCCAAAATGTTGGAATTACAGGGGTGAACCACCACACACAATTTACACAGTGCTGGGGATTGAATCTAGGGCTTCATGCACGCTGGGCAAGCACTCTACTAAGCAACACTCCTCGACTAGCAATGTTAACTTTTTAAATTTATTTTATGTATATGAGTGTTTTGTGTGCATGTATGTAAACATACCGTGCTATGCAATATCTGCAGAGCACAGAAGGTGTCAAGTCTCTTAGAACTGGAATTACAGACAATTGTTAACCACTTTGTAGGTGTGGGGAAGAGAACTGGGGTCCTCTGCAAGAGCAGCCAGTGCTCTTAATCACTGAGCCATCTCTTCAGCCCTCCTCGCTACATTTTTTTTTTTTGGTCTTTTTGAGACAGGGTCTCCCTGTAGCTGCAGCTCCTGGAACTCACTCTGTAGACCAGACTGGCCTCGAACTCACAGAGGATCCACCTGCCTCTGCCTCCTGAGTGCTGGGAAGCTACATTTAAAAAAAAAATATTTTTATTTATTATTTTTACTTTGTGTATGAGTGTATTGCCTGCATATACGTGAGTGCACCCATGTCGTGCAATGAATGCCTTGGAGGTCAGAAGAGGGCTTTGGATTCCCCTGGAACTGGAGTTAAGGATGGTTTGTAGCCACCATGTGGGTGCTGGGAATCAAACCCGGGTCCTTTGCAAGAGCAATTAGTGCTCTTAACCGCTGAGCCATCTCCCCAGCCCCCTAGCTACATTTTTAAAAAAATATATAATGATTTTGTGTGTGTGTGTGTGTGTGTGCGCAAGCACATGCCGCAGCACACATGTGGAGGCCAGAGAACAACTTTCTGGAGTTACCACTTTCCTTCTACCTTCTTTTTGAGGCAGGGTCTCTGTTGTTTCTGCTGCTAGGCTGAAGATGGGAGCTTCTGGCCTACTTGCTTCCTGTCTCACCAGTGCTTGGATCACAGACATGAAGCAATGCACTGGCCTTTTACATAGGTTCTGGGTTCAAACTCAGGTCCTTGGGCTGGTGTGGTCAGTGCTTTTATCCACTGAGTCTCATCCACCTCTAGCTCCATTTTTTAAAAAGATTTATATTGCTGAGCATGGTGGCATATGCCTTTAATCCCTGCACTTGAGAGGCAGAGGCAGGTGGGCCTCTGTGAGTTCCAGGCCAGCCTGACCTACACAGAGAGTTCCAGACCAGCTGTGGCTACAGGGAGACAAAAAAATAAATTTAAAAAAATTTATTTTTAGTTTCATTTACATGTATATGCAGGTGCCCACAGAGGTTAAGAAGAGGGTGTCAGATCCCCTGGAGCTGGAGTTATAGGCAGTTGTATATGGGTGCTGGGAAACAAACCTGGGTACTCTAGAAGGGCAGCAAGCACTTTTTTTTTTTTTTTGAGACAGGGTCTCCCTGTTGCCCCAGTTGGCCTGGTACTCACTATGTCACTATGTAGACCAGGGTGGCCTTGAACTCACAGAGATCCGCCTGCCTCTGCCTCCCAAGTGCTGGGATTAAAGGCATGTGCCACCACGCCTAGCAGCAAGTACTTCTTTTTTTTAATATTTTTATTTTATGTGTATGAGTGTTATGCCTGTGTGTAGGTAAGTGCACCTGTGTCGTGCAATGCCCACGGAGGACAGAAGAGGCAGTTGGATCCCTTGGAACTGGAGTTATGGACAGTTGTTGGCTGCCATGTGGGTGCTGGGATTTGAACCTAGGTCTTCTGCAAGAACCAGTGTTCTTAACCGCTGAGCCATCTCTCCAGGCCCACAAGTACTGTTTTTAAAAAAAGATTTTTTGTTTTGTTTCTATGGAGACATGGTCTCCCTGTGGCCCCAAATAGCCTGGAAATCACTATGCAGACCAGACTGGCCTCAATCTCAGAGATCCACGATTTACTCTGGAAGAGCAGCAAATACTTAAAGATTCATTTATTATTTTTATGTGTATGTGCCTGTGTGAGTTTGTGTACCATATGTGTGCTAGAGTCCCCAAAGGCCAGAAGATCCCCTGGAACTGGAGTTATAGATGGTTGTGAACTCCCATGTAAGTGCTAGGAATCAAACCTAGGTTCTCAGCAAGAACAGTAAGTGCTTTTAACCACTGAGCCATCTCTCCAGCCCCTATTTACTTATTTTTAAAATATTTATTTTTATTTTATGTGTATGAGTTTATTGTCTGCATGTATATAAGTACACCTGTGTCATGCAATACCCACAGAGGTCACAGAGGGCATAAGATTCCCTGAAACTGGAGTTAGGACAGTTGTTAGCCATTAGGTGGGTACTGGGAATTGAACCTGCGTCCTCTCTATGAACAGTCAATACTCTTAACTGCTGAGCCATCTCTTCAGACACTTTTTTACAAAATTTATTTAATTTTAATTATTTATTTATTTATATTTATTTATTTAATTTAATTTAATTTTTTTGGTCTTTTTGAGACAGGGTTTCCCTGTAGCCCCAGCTAGCCTGGAACTCACTATGTAGACCAGGCTGCCCTTGAACTCACAGAGATCCGCCTACCTCTGCCTCCCAAGTGCTGGGATTAAAGGCATGCACCACCACGCCTGGCTATTTTTTATTTTATTGTATGAATGTATTGCCTGCATGTGTTTAAGTGCACCCATGTTGTGCAGTGCCCGTGGAGGACTGAAGAGGTCATTAGAGCCCCTGAAACTGGAGTTCCGGACAGCTGTTAGATGCCATGTGGGTGCTGGGATATGAAACCGGGTCTTCTGCAAGAGCAGCCAGTGCTCTAAATCACTGAGCCATCTCTCCAGTCCTTTATTTTTCATTTTTATGCATATTTGTATGTGTATGTGCTTGTGTGAGTGTGCACCACATGTATACAGGAGACCCCAGAGGCCAGAAGAGGGCATCAGATCCCCTGGAACCAGAGCTACAGCTGGTTGGGAACCATCATGGGTGCTGGAAACTGAACCTAGGTCCCCTGAAAGGGCTAGAATTCTTAAGTGCTGAGCCATCTCTCTAGTTCCCTATCCTAATTTTTAAAGCTAATATTTGCTGGGCCTGGTGGCCCACACCTTTAATCCCAGCACTTGGGAGGCAGAGGCAGGCGAATCTCTGTGAGACTGAGGCCAGTCTAGTCTACATAGTGAGTTCTAGGCTAGCAGTGGCTACAGGGAGACCCTGTGTCAGAAAAAAATAAATAAATAAATGAAGATAATGTTTGCATATGTTTTATAATTGTCCTATAACAGCATTTTAATAGTATATCTCTGTAATTTGTACTCAAAAGCATTTTATTGATGGGAGTATATAATCAGAAAGAGTTTAGGGTAGAAAGATGGTCCAGTCAGTAAAGTACATACTGCCCAAGCCTGAGAACCTGAGTTTGGTCCTCAGTACCCATGTAAAAAGCCAAGCACGATGGCACAAGCTTGTAATCCCACCACTAGGGAGGCAGAGACAGGTAGATCCCTGAGACCACTGGCAAACCAGTGTAGCCTAATTAGTGAGTGCCAGGTCCCACTGAGAGACCCTGTCTTAAAACACAAGGTGGAGGGGCTGGCAAGATGGTTTGGTGGGTAAAGACACCTGTCACCAAACCTAATGAACTGAGTTCAATCCCTGGGATCCACATGTTGGAGAGAGAACCAACTTCTGCAAATTGTCCTTTGACCACCACATGTGCACCATGGCAAGGACTTCTATAGGTGTGAACACATACACACACATATACACACACAATAAATAAATAGATGTTGAAAAAACAACAAGAAAGCCAGTCATGGTGGCATGCCTTTAATCCCAGCACTGGGAGGCAGAGGCAGGCAGATCTTTGTAAACAACAAGGAAAAAACACAAGGTGGATGGCTCCTGAGGAATGAAGCTGACCTGGCCTCTATACACACATGTACACAAACATACATGAAAGCATTTAGGAGAACTGGGGGTGTGGTTCAGTGGCAGATCACATACTTAGTATACATGAGGTCATGGGCTTGATACTCAGCACAGAAGAGACCTCATAGACTATTAGGTGCAAAGCATGTCCACAGCGGACAAGGGTGTAGAGCATTTCCTAGAGTAAGGATAGTAATCCCACTAACAACTATACTGAAGGGAGAGAAGGGAAAGCTACTCTAGATCTGGGAAGTCAGCCTGCTCAGGGGTTGGGCATAGCAGGGGTAGGGAACCGGGAGGCTGGATTCCAGGACTCAGCTTGGTCCGTACCTGTTTTTGGGAGTGTCACCTCTTCTACATTTGGGACTGGAGAGGGCTCATCCATGTCTTTTGTCAGGTCTTCTTGCTCCTCTTCTCTGTGGCCACGCTTTGACTTGGTGTAAGGTGTTGAGGGTCTAGGAAAAGAAAAAGGGTGAAAGACATCCTTGGCAGTTGGATTTTAAAGGAAGGAAAATGAGAGTGAACCCTAAGGGCAGAATTGGCCATAAACAGAAGCCAGTACATGCAGAGAAATGGAAGATGGCAAAGGCTTTTTGTTGGGTGACTAGGTGTTCCTTTAGACTAATGATAACTGGGATTAGAACCAACAACAAGGCATGTGAAGATTTGATAACTGTCATGTAGCACACCCAGGCCAGGGACCAGTTACTTTAGGAAGATACGTGTCCTTTCCTTTGTCATGGTATGGAAAGAACAGTGAATGTGGGGAGGGCCAGAGGTTACATACCCTTTCTTAGCATTTTTCTTCTTAGCCTCTGGGGTTGGTGAAGGAGAAGGAGAACGCTTCCTCTTCTTATAGTTCCCCCCCTTCTTGTCCCGTCTATCTGAATCTGGGCTGTTTACCTGCAGAATAGAGAATTGGGGCAAATGATGTCAGCCTACAATTCCCAGTGAGGCCTGTTCTAAGATTTATGCTAAGGGCTCTAAGAAGAACAAACAGGATTTTTACCTCATCTGTCAATGTCTTAGCTGAGATCTTCTTTCGGCGGGAAACAGGGTTTTTCTCATCATTTACCTCATAGTCTTCCTCATTCATCCATTCATTGAAAGTGTCTGTGTCTAGGATCCACTTTGCATGAACCTAAAAGAATTAAGGCAGCCCATGCCGGAGAGTTCCTAGAAGCCACAGCTCTGCCTAGGGACTCTTTAACAGAAAAAGTGCAAGTGCAGAGTCCCTGCTCTCCTCCAGAGTGGTCTGTTTGATCCTCTGTTCTTGGGATGGAGGGTACCAGAAACGTTTACCTTTCTAGGTTTCTCAGGAGTTGGAGCGTCTTCCACAGATGCTTCAATTTCACTAGCTGGGATCCATGTGTCATAACTGCCAGGAGAAACTCAGCATGAAGTAGAGCCAATAGGACACAATTGTGAAAACATAAAATGCAGTCTTTCACTTTTTCTTTTTCTTTCTTTTTTTAATTAATTTACTTTTGGGTTTTTTTGAGACAGGGTCTCTCTGTACCTCCAGCTAGCCTGGAACGAATTAGCTATATAGACAGGCTGGCTTCTATCTTACAGAGCCTGCCTCTGCCTCTGCCTCCCAAATGTTGGATTTAAAGGCATGCACTAATGCCGAGTTCCTCTTTTTTTTTTTTTTTTCCTTAGTGCTTAGAGATGAAACCCAGGGCCTTGTACATGCTAGAAAACTCTATCACTGAGTTACATACTCATCCCTACCTTTTCCATTTACAAAAAGTATTGTTTTTTTCTAACTAAACTTGGAATATTTTCACCATAAAACAATAAAAGCATATTATAAAATAATTCAAGCTGGATATGGTGACTCATGTCTACAATCTTAATACTCACAAGGTCTAAGCAGGAGGACTACTCACTCTGCAAGTTCAAGGCCAACCTGAACTACGGAGGGAATTTAAAGTCAGCCTGGTCAATTTAGTGAAACCCTATCTCAAAAAAGTAAAAAGAAGCCAGGCGTGGTGACCCATGCCTTTAATCCCAGCACTCAGGAAGCAGAGGCAGGTGGACCTCTGTGAGTTCAAGGCCAGCCTGGGCTACATAGCGAGTTCCAGGCCAGCTGGGGTTACAGGAAATCCTGTCTCCAAAAGACCAAAAAAAAAAAAAAAAAAAAAAAAAAAAAAAAAAAAAAAAAAAAGTAAAAAGTAAAAAGCAGGGTTATAGCTCACTGGCAGAGCACTTACCTAGCATGCACAAGTTCCTGGGCTCATTCCCCAGTACTGCAAAACATACAACCACAAAACAAAAACAAAACCTCACAAATGGAGCACCTTTCACGGATGCTTCAATTTCATTTGTGGGATATGCCTGGAATACCAGCAACCCTAGGGGTTGAAGCAGGAGGATCTTGTTTCTGAAGCAATCTGAGCTGCATAGTGAGACTCTGCCTCAAAAAATAAAACCACAGAAGAAACAAACTTAAAAAAATAATGAAAAGAAGGCCAGGTGTGGTGGCGCACGCCTTTAATCCCAGCACTTGGGAGGCAGAAGCAGGCAGATCTTTGTGAGTTTGAGGCCAGCCTGGTCTACATAGTGAGTTCCAGGACAGCTGGGGCTACAAGGAGACCTTGTCTCAAAAAAGACCAAAAAAAAAAAAAGTAAAGAATCTTGTAATATAGGTGACTAAGGTGGCTTACAACTACAATCCTCCTGAGACAGGAAGATTGCCTTAAGTCAGCCTGGGTTACATAGTGAGTTCTAGGTCAGACATAGTAAGTTACATTGTGAGACCCTGTCTCAGCTCAAATCACTCCTTCAAAATGAATCGTCCTAAGCCAGGTGTGGTGGCATATAATAATCCCAGCACTCAGGAAGCAGAAGCAAGTGGATTTCTATGAGATCAAGGCCAGCCTTGTCTACATAGCAAGTTCTAGGCCAGCTGGGGCTACAGGGAGATTGTCTCAGGAGATAAAAAACAAAAACAAAAACCATACCCTAATATAATTACACTTGATATTTAGTGTGTAAGTGTGTATGTATGCATATATACATACAGTGTGTGTGTATATATATATACACACACACACACACACACATATATATATATATATATATTTTTTTTTTTTTTTTAAATTCACAGGGTCTCCCTGTATTCCCAGCTTGGAACTCAATATATAGACCAGGTTAACTTTGATCTCACTGAGATCCACCTGCCTCTGCTGTAGCCTGTATATTATTTTTTGATAACTTTTTTCTATTATCAATTTTGGTTTTTAATCATACTGTTATTTTGTGTGTTTGTCATTGTTTTACCACTGAGCTACATCCTCAGGCCCTAAATTTTATTTTACATGCTACATTTTTGCCAATGGAGAAGGAACATTGCTATGTTTCCCAGGTTGGCTTTGAAGTCCTAGGCTAGAGCGATCCTTTTGCCTCAGCCTCCTAGGTGGCTGGGACTACAGATGCTAACCATTATGTTGAACTTAAATTTGTCCCAAAACTATCCATTTCATTTTATATCACTTTAAAGGCTATATAATAGCCCAGGGTAGTTATACAAATTTTTGAATATTTTCCCATTATCACGGTGTATTAACTATTCTTTTCTTGGTTGGTTTGACACAGGATTTTATGTAGCTTAGGCTGGCCTGGAACTCATTATGTAGACCAGTCTGGCCTTGAACTCACAGAGATCCGCTTGCCTCTGCCTCCTGAGCAGTAGGATTAAAGGTGTGGGCCACCATGCCTGGTTCCTGCTTCCATTTTTTTTTTTTTTTTTTTTAAGTGTTGAGATTATAGGGGTACTATACGTGTGGTTTTTTTTTTTTTGTTTGTTTGTTTTTTAATGTTGGGTATTATAGGGGTATACCACTAGGCTTGCCTTAGTTTTAACATTTACTTATTAAAAATCATAGGATAGGGGCCAGCAAGATGACTCAGTGGGTAAAAGTGCTTGCTGCACAAGCTCAATGGTCTGAGTTGAATTCCTGGAACCCACGGTAGAAAACTGACTCTTGAAAGTCCTGTGACCTCCATATGGGCACACATACATGCACACTCGTAGAAAATAAATAAATACAAGAAATATGGGGCTGGGGGATGGCTTGGTCAGTATAGCGCTTACCTTGCAAGCACAAGGACCTGAATTCCATCTCCAGAACCCACATAAAAATGCTGGGCCTAGCCAGGCGTAGTGGCACGCGCCTTTGATCCCAGCACTTAGGAGGCAGAGGCAGGTGGATCTCTCTGAGTTCAAGGCCACCCTGGTCTACATAGTGAGTTCCAGGACAGCTGGGGCTACAGAGAGACCCTGTCTCAAAAAGACCAAAGGAAAAAAAAAAATGCTGGGCATAGTGGCTCCTGCTTGCAATCCCAGGGCTTAAGAGGAAACAGGAGTATCCCAGAGGCTCACTGGCCAGTCGGTTTAGTCTAATTGGTGAGTTCCAGGTCAATAAGAGACTGTCTCAAAGGAGGTAGACAGCATTCTTGAGGATGAACCTGAGGTTGTCCTCTGGTCTCCACACATATATGTGTACCTGCACAAATATATACACATAACTTAAAAAAGAATTATACTGAGCCAGGCATGGTGGCACACACCTTTAATACCAGTACTCCAGCAGGTGGATTTCTGTGAGTTCAAGGCTAGCCTGGTCTATACAGCAAGTTCCAGCCCAGGGTTACATACTGAGACTTTGTCTCAAAAAATAAATAAATATTCACTTGGTATATTCCTAAATGATAAAATACTGATAATGTCGGTTTTAATGAAGTAATAAATGAAGATATTATTTCCTATTATTAAAAAATAAAT